TGCCCCAACCCAGGTGCAGGGCCTTGCGCTTGTCCTTGTTGAACCTCATGAGGTTCACACAGGCTCACTTCTCCAGCTTGTCCAGGTCCCTCTGGATGGCATTCCGTTCCTCAGGTGTGTCAACCACACCACTCAGCTTGCTGTCATCCTCATAATCCCTGAGGGTGCACTTGATCGCATTGTCTATGTAATTCATAAAGATATTGAACAGTACTGGTCCCAGTACGGACTCCCGAGGGACACCACTTGTCACCGATCTCCATCTGGACATTGAACCATTGACCATTACCCTCTGGATGCAACCACACAACCAATTCATCATCCACCAAACAGTCCACCCATCAAATCTGTCTCTCTCCAATCTAGAGAGAAGGATGTTGTGGGGGACCATGTCAAAGACCTTACAGAAGGCCAGATAGACAACATCTAGCTCTTCCCTTGTCTGCTGATGTAGTCACTCCATCATAGAAGCCCACAAGGTTGGTTGGTGAAGCCATGCCGGCTGTCTCAAATCACTTCCCTCTCCTCCATGTGCCTTAGCACAGCTTCTAGGAAGATCTGTTCCATGATCTTCCCAGACACAGAGGTGAGGCTTACAGTTTGGTAGTTTCCAAGGTCCTCCTTTCCACCCTTTTAAAAAATGGGTGCAAAGTTTCCCTTTTTCCAGTCACCGGGGACTTCATCTGACTGCCAGGACTTTTCAAATATCATGGAGAGTGGCTTGACAACTACATCCACCAATTCCCTTGGGACTCTGGGATGCATCTCGTCAGGTCCCATAGATTTCTGTAGGTTCAGGTTCCTCAGGTGGTCATGAACCTGATCTTCTCTTACAGTGGGAAGGACTTTTCTGATCCAGTCCCCGCCTTGCAGTCTGTCCACTTGAGAGGTGTGGGTAGAGAGGTTGCCAGTGAAGACCAAGGCAAAGAAGTTGTTGAGTACATCAGCCTTCTCCTTGTCCATTGTTACCAGTTTGCAAGTCTTGCTCATCACTGGGGGCATGCTTTCTTTGACCTTCCTTTTCTGGCTGACGTGCCTGTAGAAACCCTTATTATTCATTGCATCCCTTGCCAAGTTCAACTCCAGCTGCTCCTTGGCCTTACTGACCCCATCCCTACACAACTGGGCAGCATCCCTACACTCTTCCCAGGATACCTGTCCCTGCTTCCAGTTCCTGTGCATCTCTTTCTTGCCCTTTAGTTTCACCAGCAGGTGAAACAGAATATTAACATACACTTTTCCTATATTTACTTTATACATGAAAGTTAACTTACTTCTAGCCACAATTCTGATAGTGCAGTTTTTCTTAATTTCAGTTTGTCAGGAGGGATCTGCATGCATACCCACTCTGCTCTAGAGGACACTGTTAGCACCTCACTGACTTCACAGCAAAGGCACTAGACTAAATTCATGATTGCTTTACATTAAGGTTCTTCTAAGTATGTAGATGAAGCTAATATTAGTTAGATTTGAGGCACATTATGGTAAAAGGAGAGACTCACAGTGAGTTTCATGAAATTTTGGTCTGTCCTTTCTTCTTTCGCCCTCTACTTAGGTATTACTTTTAGCAGTGTTGGGAGAATTTTTGAGCTGTGTGCAGCCAGAGTGTGGTGTTTGGGGTTTTTTGTTGTTGTTGTTTGGTTTTTGTTTGTTTGTTTTTGTTTTAGTAGTATATGTGTGTATATACCCTCCTCCTTTTTCAGCTTTAATATTGACTGACAGAAACAAAGACTAAAACCAAAACTGTAATAAGAAAAAAATAGCCAAACTATCAAGGACCTGTTAAAATGAAATTATTAAAGGAAGATTTGCATTGCATCCAATACAAAAATAAGTAAGTATGAAATGTAGGACACCTGAATTCTTCAAGGTCATTCAAAAAAGTAATGGCCTAATTTGAGTGACTTCAATTAAACACATGGCTTACAATTTTTCTTTGCTTAGTGAAAGCTAAGGTTCCAAAAAAATAATAAAAAAAGAAAGTTAACAAAATACTTTTCTATTTCTAATGTTAATAAACCTCAGTGTTCAAATTAGGCTTTGTAGAACAATGGTATTTTTTCCAATGGATGACAGAGGAAGGAAAAATAGAAGTTTCACAGTCCAGAGTTCTGTTTTGTCCTTTGTTGCATTTCAAACACCTACTGAGGAAAAATACAACTTTACAGAGAAGCCCCATAACAAACATAATACAGTCCTTACATTTATTAAAAAGCTGTCCTATGAAAATTTGATTGATCATTGATTGCCTCTGTTTTGTCTCTGGCTGAACATAATTGCATGATTTCGTTTGTTTTAAAAAACCCCACACATTTCTTACTGATTGTCATAAGTGAATTTTTACAAGCTCGAATGCATAAGTGTATCAATAACCTATAATGACAAAATCAAATTAAATGGATTTTGGCTGCAGGAAGTTAAGTTTAGTTACAGCATGAATTCTCACACTGGATTTACTGGAAAATATCTTATTTACAGATAGGGATGTTTATATTACTGATCTGTAGACAATTCATTACAATATGATGCTTCACATGTTGCTTTCCACTACAGTATAATTATTTCTATAGGTGACGTTAAGGCTGTCACCTCTGCAGTATGGGACTATATGCTTGGAGCCTCAATATAAGCTAGGTGTTCACTCCTAATTAGTCAAAAGCAAATTCTCCCACCATCAAATATTTATTCTCTTTGGAGGTATGCATATTATATTGAAACATTAGAAACCAAATGCTTTGCTGAGTTAATACATAGTTGAGGGAAATAGCTTTCTACCTCTGGCAGCCACATGAATGCTTGCCTCAGGAAATGCATATGGATGTTATCGTTATCTCCTGCAAGTGTCAGTGATGTTTATGTTTCCTTTTTTTTTAACTAATTGAGAAATTAAAGAGGTATCTGAGATAAACTCTGAGGTAGAAAACAGTTGATAGTGAGTGCTGTGCCCTATCAGTCAGATCTCTTCCGTAACTTGCTGCCTAGAAGCTTCACAAGAGAGGACTGTTGTGCCGAGCTTGGGGGCTTTCCACCTCTCTTTCACATAGGGATGGAGAACACATTCATTTTCTCTACAAGAAAGCAGAATCAGCTATAAATTCACAGTGTGCTAATCCTAAGGGACTAATCAGCAGATGACACACACCTAGAGACCGCACATTAACATATTCAGGCAAGAGATGTCTAGACCATGCTGTACATACTATATGCAGTACATAAGTCAGAGTACATGTAGCAGCATACTCTTTGCTTCCCTGGCTAAATATTCTGTCAGCTTCCATATAAGATTTCTATTCTTTCTGTGTTTCATGTTTCTGTGTTTCTGTGTTACATGGATCTGAATGGCATTGGTTTCATGCAAAGCTATGAACCTTCTCCTGCAGAGAAAGTGGCAGATACGTTGCCTCTGGGAAATATTTCTCCAGCTGCTCCTTGCTTGGTGGTGCTGGCAGTGAGAGGAGCACATGAACTCATTCAGTCAGACCATGCAATTTTCACAAGGCTTTTTAAATTCACCATCACAACTGTTTGCTATGTTCAGCTCATCCAGAAAACAGTTACTGAAGCGCGACTTTCTTGCCCAGTTGCAACTAATGTCCTGTGCGAGGAAGACCCAGAGAAAGAAACCCAGAAATGCCTGCCTTTGGGATCTCTGCTATCCTAATGAATCCCCAGTTGACATTTCTGAGTTGTAGGGCAAACGAGCTGAGAAAACCTACCCAATCAGAAACTTTTCCAAGGATAAATGTAAGGATGGTCTTCATGATTTGATTTGAAAGCCATATCATACCTCCATTAGGGGAAGGAACTATTTTTTAACTTGAAAGTTTTGGTGAACTTTTAGATTTTCCTCTTTTCTTCATACTAAAATGACAAAATTCTCGAACCTGGATTTGAGAAGTGTCAGTTAACACCTAGTCTCTCACACATCCTACTTCCCTAGTATAGACAAGGTGTTACTTAGACAAAGTAACAGAGACTGGATTGCAAATGCCTGTTAAACACTGAGTAACGTGGGAGGTCTACAGATAAAAGCATCTTGCAGTTTGGAGCATACTGTGATAAAATGACTCAGGGGGGAGGAAACAAAACAGGGAGTTTTCTTACTTCCAACTCCCTCAGGACTGCTGCAACACAGGTCCACCGGGACTCAGGGTCGGCACTGACAGCGTTCAGCAGCTCGTGATGGGAAGCGAGGGGAATGGCCCAGAACCCAGCAGGGTCTGATGTGAAATACAGCCACAAATGGTACCCTCTGGCAGTGCCTGCACATCAGCAGATCAGAACTAAAACCTACATGTGGGGAAAACCTTCAGTACCACATTGTTTCTGCTCAATGGACAGAGACTTCAATGTCTGCTCATACAGGATCTTCTAAGCTGCAGTTACATAAAAAGTCCTTTAGTGTTACGAACTTCATTTGACTTTCTGTAGCCATCCCAAATTGGCATACCTACTACTACTTTTAGCTAAAATGTTTAGTTCTGATAACTTGAGAAGTGCTCCTGATTTAGGTTTTTTTGCTTATTGACACTGAAAGGGACATTGCTATCTTGGCCCTCAAAAACATGAGATTTCAAAGAAAAATAATCTTCAAGCGTGACAAAAAGTCAAATTTACAAGCAAATTGCTTTAAAAAATTCTAGCTGAAATGCATTGCTCTGATGTTGGGCTGTTTAACCCTTCTTAGCATAAATAACATTGGGGAATGACAAGCAAAAATTCCAAAAAGAACAAATTAAAGCTGACAATTTGATTAAAGTAGTGCTTTGTCATGAGGCATTTCACTTTCAATAAATTAAAGATTTCTGAAAAAAAAAAAAAAAAGTTTAGGTTTTTTTTATTATTATTATTTAATTAAAATTCCTGGCTGGGACCTCATTTATGCTTCTAAAGCTTTATAAGAGAAACAAGAAAATGCCTTTTTTATCTCTCACTGCTTTTTCATATGTTCATGTTATGTCATCTTTGCTTATAACAACACTTTTTTCTTACTATTTTAGGCAATGAAAGCCTAGAAGAAAACTATGTGCAGGACAGTAAAATGGGATTTGTCATCAACGCTATATATGCTATGGCTCATGGGCTCCAAAACATGCATCATTCCCTTTGCCCTGGACATGTTGGGCTGTGTGATGCTATGAAGCCAATTGATGGCAGCAAGCTCTTGGAGTTCCTCCTCAAATCCTCATTCATCGGTATTTCTGGAGAAGAAGTTTGGTTTGATGAAAAGGGAGATGCCCCTGGAAGGTAAAGAGATGTTTGATCTCAGCTAATTAAACCAGGTGTTGGGAAGGGGGAATGTTGCTGGGTTTGGTGATGGAGATTTCTTTGGCTGCTTTACTGAAGCATAAAGCACGCATAGTGTGAGACACAAATGGAGTTATCTGGATTAGTCTTACCAATAGCCAGGAATAACACACTGGTAACACATGATATATTGATAGCTATAGCTCAAATTGAGACAGGAACTACAGTACAGCCTATAACATTTCTAGTATTTAGGGAGCAGACAAACCTTGTATCTCACAGACTTTTGGTGTCTGAGCTACAACTGGAGCTCAGCACCAGGATTTTAGTGTGTATAAATCCTAATACAAGTGCTTGGAAATTAATGAAGCATCTGCTTGCTAAGGTTTTGAACGTAGGGCTGTAGAACGCATCCTTTTCCAGCTTGATCTCTGCTGCCCCAAGTGCCCCCAGGACGCAGCACTGTATCCTTGCCAGAGACTATTTAGTTCTGCTTGGTGAATTCCTGTGTGTTCTCCTTAACTTCTTTCACTCCAAGTAAGCTTGGCTGTCCCAGAGTTTAAAGATAGATCCAAGTAGACCAGGACAAATAAGTTTTGGGGTTTTTTTTGCCAGAAGGAACTGTGTTTCACTCATTTGGGGTCTGGTAAATTCCAGCTGTGGTAGCTGCTTCTGTCTACCCCTCCTGAGCAGACAGAGTATGTACCCGAGCAATGGGTGAGACAGCAACTTCGTGGACTTGGATGTCACTTTTTTTTTCTCTTAGGGGAGCCAGCTGACAGAAATCCTTTCCTCTTCCTTTCGTCCTGTGGGCTCTGTCCAACTATTTTAAGTGAGACACCTCCCAGATGGGTTTATTTTTGAGTTGGTTTGTTTGTTTTGTTTTTTTTTTTTTATAAATAAGTCTAATTCAGCTGCTGAAGTACACAATCCGTTATTAACTGAAACTTACTCAAGGGTTACCTCCTTGAAGTCAGTTTTCCTACTGAGTTATTAAAGTGTTATAAAAGACTCTCTCACTCCATCTTTGGGCTTCTTGCATAAATGCATCAGAGTGCCAATACTGCACAAAGAGAGTGCTCTGGAATAAACAAGAGTTTTCAGCCTGGCATATGCTTTCAAAGAGTATTTGTAAGACACAGTGGCCTTAAAGCAACCCTTATTTCTATTACTAGCCTTTATTAGAAAAACTGACCATCTTTTTTACCATTTACTATTTGCATTGCTTGTTATATTTAAGCAGTATATACAGTTAAACAGCTCATTACATTTAAATAGTAAGAAAAAGCTGGTCGGTTTGTCTTCCCGTTAAGCTCTGTATACTTTAGATTTTTTTTAGTCAAAGATATAGATGAGCCAGGTCAGACTTTGAAAGTAGAGGCAAGCAATTCTCTTACAGTCAAACACATACTTACTGACACAAATGCATAAATCAAATCTTAGTACATACAATTTAGATAATACAGAGAAATTACTGCTTAGTGTAGCTTTAAGTTTATCAAACACTGTTTATCTCCATAACAGCATTATTCCAGCTTTGCATATGCTGCATTGTCTATCTGTTAGTTATTTGGTTTGGTGTTTAGGTGTAATTTTCCAATTTTAGCCCAAATCTTATTAATTGTCTTGTCACCTAAGAGTATTTCTGCAACTCTCATTAGTACAAAGCATAGAATTAGAATGAACAGTTCCTAAATTCAAAACATAAGAGGGTTTATATCAGGATATTTCTCTGAGTAGGTCAGGATGATAGAATTTATTCCATCCATCATTTCAGTCTATAGCAAGGTTCATTTCTCCTGATTCCCCGGCCTACTTAGAATTTTGGGTTATTTTAGGTAGGTTTTTTTTGTTGTTCCTCATTTATATTTTCACAGCTGGAGTTAGTGAGTCTGGGCAAGAAAGTTCAATTAACCCTTTTTTTATTCATGCTATAATGCTTGTATAGGTCTGTGGCATTGACGGCATGGGTAATATCATATCAGAGAATGGTGATGTGTATATGAAATGTGATCTATACAGTCAGATCAGCAGTAGTTTATGCCCATGCAGAATTGCATTTAGCTCCAGATGAGCCCTAGTGTTTCCACAGCTCCACATGGAAAAGCTTTCTGTGAATGACTGAACATACTATACCACTGTATCAGTACTCAAAAGAGCTTTTGTACCTCAGCAAAATGAAAAGATAAACACCACGTACAACACCTAAATACAGGTGAGCCAGATCTAAATACAGAAAGCCAGATCTGAAATTTCCTAGTTTTTTTAGCTTTTCTATGCCAGTGCAAGGATATTACACAAATATGTAAAATTCTTTTTGATAGTATGTTACCATATCATGTGAACAAACCAACTCTGCAAGACGGAATATATCAATATTCTTTGTTAGAACGCAGCAACCTTCCTCATACTTCATTTTCAAAATCTGTGAGGTTCTTCAAGCAATTGACTCTCACAAGCTTGTACTTACAATCATCATGGGTAGAGCAGGTAGAGATGCCTGTAGTTATGTTTGCCTGACATATAGTTTCCTGTTTTGAACCCCTACAGCTTTGTCAAACCTTAACTATTTGTTTAGATATAAGTCTTTTTCTATCTGAGGCTCAATTCATGGTTTCAAGGTCTTATCAAAATGAGATTAGAAAATGAAACACTTTTTCAAAGGTTTATTTCTTCTGTGCAGAATCTTTTGTTTGAAGAGCTTTTATGCAGAAATGTGAAGTAGAGCTCTGCCAGAAGGGCACAAATGTAGTCACTTAACTGACTGCACTGCCTCTAGGAAAAATGATGTGGATGTAGCTCTGGAAAATCAACAGCTTTATGTGCTCGCTATACTGTCATTAAGAACATGCTGGCAAAATTGCTGAACTTTTTACCTTTGTTGAGTACCTCCTGTTTCCTTTCTCAGTAGTGATCATATCACTGAAATTCCCAGAAATGGCTGGAGAAGTTGTGAGGGATGAAGTAGTCAACTTCACATCCTTCTCTGGACTATGCAAGGGGCAGAGGACAGAGCCATTCTGAGCTTTTGTCTGTTCTAGGGTAACTGCCCACTTTTAGCTTATGGCAGGTATGAAAAAAGTTACCTCTCTTGGACAATTTGCATAGGCCTTTGACCATAAAGTGCTATGTAACAACTGTCAGGAGAACTTTCAGCCCCTACACTGAACCTCTGATGTGTGGAGAAATGCTGAGGTTCACAAGCTAACAGAAATGTTGTTGTTTGTTTTACCCTAACTAGACTTGGATGTAGACCCATATAATTCTATGTAGTTCAAAATTTCCAGTAGCTGTTCTGGCTTCAGGTATGGCAACTCTGTCAACTCCAATGCTTTGAGTATATTATCAAATGCATAATTCAAATACTCCAAACATATAGCATGTAAAGGAATGCGTCTCAAAACATACATGATTGTTTTGGAGTTTGGCTGCATGGGTGGTTGTTTTGGCCAGTTACATCCCAGCGTTGTTCACCATTGCTGTTTTCCACTCTGCCTCCCAGGACAGCAAACTTTACTGCCACTCTGGTATTATGGAGAAAGGTAACTTTAACCATTCGGACTAACCAGAGTAAGAGTGTGCCTGCAAACAGCTGCCTCACGGACTGGCTCACCTCACAAGTAAATTGGCCTATTTGGTCACATCATTTCCCAATATGAAAGAGCTTGCCTTTATATTAAAAGAAAGATTCACTGTCTTATGTGCAGAATATTTTTGTGGCTTCTGTAAATGCTGCCATATGTGTGCGAAATCCAGCTGCCATCATGGTCCTCGCTCTCTTAGAGCTTCACAACTCTTGTCTTTACTCTTTATTCTCTTTATTCTTTTGGAATAAACATTTTTAGCTTGAACACAGCCCCAAAATTTAAAGCTTTACATGTGTGAGTGAGGGGATGGGGGAAGGTATTCCAGCACCGAACTCGTCCTTAGTTAAAGCAGAAATTTTTCATTAAGGAAAAGAAGAAAAGGACAAAGAACTTCTGCACATCTCCATATACCAAGTGCGTTTGTTAGACCACATTTCTCCACTTAAAATTCAAGCTGCATATCAAAGCTGCAAACATTGTACTACAACTTGTCATGCGCAAGACTGTGTAAGAGCTTTTAGTCTGCATACTTTATTCTTTGACAGATAACTGATAGAAAAGGGAACAGTATTATAAGAAAACATAAGAATGGCTTTCAACCTAAAATCATATCCCTGAAATTGCCAACTCTTGATTGATATTGCATTAATGCCACTCTGTACCTTGTAATATATCTTTGCAAGAACAAAAACAATCTGTGCAGGTTCAAAAATTCCATTAAGGGAATGTGAGATTTTAGTAGTCTTTTATTCCCCTTCCTGATTCCTTTTTCTAGTGCAGAGTAACTGATTTTGTATCAGTTTAATACAAGGTCACACTAAAATCCAAGTAGGTTCTTCTTGCTAGGAAGAGACATGTACATTCTTGCTCAATTTTACTCCGGTTGTGTCTACATTATAAAGTGCCTGGCTTTTACTGGTTCTTGCTATCTTGATTCTTCTCAATCCTGAAAACAGCACTCCCTTTTTTTATGTTCTTGCTTTGCAAGAACTGGGATATGAGAAGGAATTGTTCCCTAGGGAATTTGCAATTCACCCCTTTTCTAAGCAACCCATCAATTAGTAGCCTATTGCCAATGGAGCCGCCTTCTGCTTGGAGCTCTGTTGAACTCAGTGGCAAGAGTCCCTTTTCCCATTTAATTCAGTGGAGCTCTGCGGTGGAATTGACATTACCATATTTGCAAGACTGAGGTCTAAATACAGCTGTAAATATGCACTTCTTTAAATCATCTCTAACTAGAGAGATCCCAAAGAGTCAATTAAGAAAAACAGACATCTAGAGAGTAATTCTAGCACCTCTTTCCTCTGCGAAGTGCAGAGAGAGCTGAAATTTTGCATGTTTGAACTTCAGAGGGGAAAAGAAAGAAATGGATATGTCTCTCTCTTTGTTCATAACCAAGCATCCCAGTTTTATTTATGGGTCATACTTTGCTTACCTTTCATTCCTAAAGCACACACAGATTAGCAACAGTCATTTAAAAAAAAAAAAAGATTTTTTTCCCCAGAGACAGAGACAATCCAGTAGAGCAAAACAAGGTAGTAACTCCCAGGCTTGGAAAACAGTAGATGCTTTGTGATTTTCAGCTCCAGTGCTGATTTCTAGTTCTCAGTCCTCTTTCTCTTGTCCTTTTTTAAACAGACACACACACACACCCCCCTTTCTCATCTTAAGAGGCCAGGCTTTAGGTCCAGCCTCTGTTGTGGTTCTTCCTCACTGTGCACTCTCCAATATTTATTCTCCCATTTTTGCTTTTTTCCTGTTAAGAAATCAGCACAATTAATCACTGCTTTGCACAAGCCACATTCTGTTGTTTAAAGAAGGAACAGAATAACTAGCCGTAAGGGATGTGCACACATCAGGTCCAACACATGGAAGGCAATGACGGAGGCAGGGAAGCTGAATGTTTATTGTAGCAGTGTTTTATGCTTCCTTTACGTTAGCCTGGGGAAGTTCTTTCCTACTTGCCTAGGGCAAGGAAGTAAATTTTGTGCCTGAGCTGCTAACTTTTCCTGACAGTCCCACTGGGCTGGGTAATATAAATAGTTGAACTAGTGCTTACAGTTAACTTATGGCATACCAGTTTAGTTAGTTTGGTCCTTTCTACTGATTACTTTAGAGCTCCCGGCAGAGGCTATACTGCTATCAACTTGTATGTAGGCATCAAGCAAATGTTAAAGATATCTTGAAAAATGGCTGAAAACCACACCATCCAGACAGTGCCTACATGCACATCTTTAGCAGAGCTTGACATCTTTGATGTGCAGTTCTTCCTGGACACAGAACTTTTTATCCACAGTTTTATATAAGCAGGGCAGGCAATCAGTAATTGTGTGGTGATCAGAGCTGTCATTTTCCATGATTCTGCTGCAAATCCTACAGTATTTGGTGTTTTCATGAAAATCTAGTCCCTGGTGTTGAGGGATGACATGTATATTTATGAAGGCAGAAAGAGAAGGGCACAGTAAATGATTATCCTTTGTGCTGCCCGACAGTGAGTGGCTTTCTCTTTTTTCCCTTGCAGGTATGACATCATGAACCTGCAGTACATAGAGCCCAACCACTATGACTACGTCCTCATTGGGACCTGGCACGAGGGTGTGCTCAACATTGATGACTACAGGATTCAGATGAATAAGAGTGGAATGGTCCGATCAGTGTGCAGTGAGCCTTGCTTGAAGGGCCAGATTAAGGTGTGCCTCAGACACTTTCTGCTATAGAAATGTGAATAACCGGTCAATGTTTTTTCCCTAAACCCAGGAAAGCTTCTTTCAAGCCAAGGGATAGAACATCATAGATCACAGAATCATAGAATGGTTTAGGTTGGAAGGGCCCTTCAAGATCATCTAGTTCCACCCCCCTGCCATGGGCAGGGACACCTCCCACTAGACCTGGTTGCTCAAAGCCCCATCCGCCCTGGCGTTGAACGCTTCCAGGGATGGGGCATCCACAACTTCCCTGGGCAACCTGTTCCAGTGTCTTACCACCCTCAGAGTGAAAAATTTCTTCCTGATATCTGTTCTAAATCTCCCCTCTTCCAGTTTGAAGCCATTACCCCTCATCTTATCACTACATGCCCTTGTAAAAAGTCCCTCTCTAGCTTTCTTGTAGGCCCCCTTCAGACAGTGGAAGTTTGCTATAAGGTTTCCTCGGAGTCTTCTCTTTTGCAGGCTGAACAACTTGAACTTCCTTTTCTTCAGGAAAGCCAAAAGTATAGAAAGACTCCTAGATAAATATCTTGCTCTTACAATCCCGTATAGACAATCCCATATTTTCTAAAACTGCCCTTTGTAGTGATGCAGAATCTTCTAGTGTGCCAGGATTTGAATTTCACCTTATGCAAGTAAGAACAAGATTTTCACTTAGACATTACCTTCCACATTCAGTGGCTGTGATTCACTTGGGGGATGATCCTGAAAATAACGTGACCCACAGGAAACCAGTATTTTGTTCCAGCAATAACACCTGCAAAAAAGGTGGTGGGAGGGGAAGCCTGTTTGCATCTCATGTTCACAACAGGAGGTATGGAAACACAAATGAAATCACTCTGTGTTTACCAAACAGTAGCACTTGCATCAAGCTACAAATAATTTGCCACCTGCCATGTCTGCATGACATAAAGACATGTTCCACCACTGTCAAAATGGTATGGACACGGTAAGTTTAAAATGGCAAGAAGCCCATTCAGGAAAATCACCTTAGAGCAAACCTTCCTTTCTAATTTCATTTAATAAGCACATTTGCAGCTTTGTAATTCTATATTGCTACTCTAAGCAATAAGTGATTGATGATTTGGCAAAGGCATAGTGACATACTCAAACAATCTTGGAGGGGAAACATTATCAGTATTTACTACCCTCCAAAACATCTTTTCTCTGTTTTTGAGATTGTGCAGTTTGTGTATGTGTGTATATGTAAACACCATGCATACGAAATGCCAGCTTCGGCTCCCATTGAAGTCTATTGGACTCTCTCCATAGACTGCAGGAGGAAATGTCAACCAAAAAAGCCCACAAAGCCAGCATTCAATAAAACAAACATTTTGTATTTCACTACTGCACTCAGCTCTGCACGTAGATGGATAGGAAGCTCCTGGAGAGAAGGCTGCATTCCTCCTTTCTGGCACGGAGCCAGAGTCTTTGTTGGAGCCCCATGAGCTGGAGATATTCTTAATCTACCTTTCAGCCTCAGTGTAATGAAACTAGGAGTCAAGATGAGGAAACCGTCTTTTCAATATTGGATCATTACACTTAGCAGCCTTCACAGCTGAGAAAGATACAACTTTCAGGGACATTTGTCTCCAAAAGAGCTGTTCTGAAGCATGCTCTTGGTCACCACACATTGGTTCTGTTTTCTACTAGGACCCATTGCCTCCTTTTAGCAGTATATTTTTTAATTTGCTCGGTTTTGAATTTCTATTTACACTAGTGTAGTAAGCCCCAAAGAGACATCCATGTAAATTGCAATTTATGTGTGTGTGCATGTGCTCATGTATCTATATATAAGTATATGCATGAATCACTCTTTGTTCTAACCTTTGACTTTGTTTGCTGCTTTTTACTATGCAACAGATATTAAGTGTGGGCTGAGCTACTTGTCCTGACCTGAACCATCTCTCAAATTAAGCCTCTTCTCAAGTTTGATTGAAAATATAACACTCACCATGCCTCTGTACCAAGGGGAAAATGATTTTGTACTTTTAATTCAGAACTGCTCCCTCCAAAACAAAATAGAATTGTCCCCAGAGATTAACCTTGAACTCACAAGCACAAATTTTAATATGCAGGGGTAGATACAGAATCAGGATTCATGTTTTCTAGTTGTTTGAAATGTGCCATACACAGGAATTGTGTCGTATTTTAAACAGTGCAGGTGGTATCTCTTTGCTGGGTGGGCTTCTGTGTTGTCTTGTAGAGGAACACAGCTGAGGATGTATTTTGCATTACAGGTGATCAGGAAAGGAGAAGTGAGTTGCTGCTGGATTTGCACTGCTTGCAAGGAGAATGAATTTGTTCAGGATGAATTCACGTGTAAAGCCTGTGAGCTTGGCTGGTGGCCGAATGCTGACCTGACAGGTAGGGACTTGTCCCTCCAAACACATTCCCATTTTATAGGGCACAAGGAGAACGGTGTGTGGCAGAGAATAAGGTGACAGCATGCAGAGATATTAAAGGTACATACTTAAACACACAGCCCAATGCAGTTTAGGGTGAGTAAAAAGTGCTGTATCTTTTGGCTCAGTTCAACAGCAGTGATAATAGAGACGATGAAATTTCTACCAAGAAGAAATTACATAGTCTGTCTGTTCCTCCCCTTCAGTTAGCATAAGCATTGATAAAGCTGTTAAGACTGCTAATGAACTTAGCAGCATTTGCTGCAATTTTAGCAGTGATTAGCACAAGAGCTCAGTGCATCGTTGTCAGATTGACTTTATACTTTTTCTGATTGTTCTGCTGTGCAATTAGTAATACTTTATCTGGGATTTCAGGCCATTTCAGACTTTCATTTGGTATAAAGATCTCACTGCACCCGCCAGCAAAAGAAATGTCAGCAAAATCCTAAGAAAGGCTGTCAGAAGAAAGGAAAACAGCTAGAATTGTTCTCCCCTGTGTATATGCTTTGGATGAGTTGTATGCTATGGCATCTTTCTGTTATTTCGTACCTATCAAGGTCAACCTCCACACCTGCTCTGGGCTTTGCAGTAACCATTACTCCAAGAAAACAGATGTAATGCACTGAGAAGCACCACCTTGACCTTGGGGTTTGCTTTGTATCACTGTAAAAGACCACTCATACCTCTGCCCCTTGCCGCACCTGCAAATCTTGGCTGCCAGTATTCGGCAGGGCGTCATTCCTAGTCAGAGAAACAATCTGACTACCTAGCTGAACATAAAATTTGCAACTTATTACATCTTTGTCCTTTAATATGACTGGCTGGCAACTAGATGTTGCTGCAGCATTTAACACATGGATGAAATATTCAAACCTTGATTAAGTAGTTCCAAGAGATACTGTTAAGCTAGTCACTGAAGCTAAGTGAGCTTTCAGAGGATTTATTTTGAGAGGGAAAGCTGGTCAATTCTCCAGCTAAAAATACATTAATCACAATAAACTGGGAAACCTGACCCATTGTCTATCTTGGTTTTCTATGGAAAATAAGCTACGGTCATATCCCAGATGTGCGTTTATCTGTCTATATCCCACACCTCTCAGCCAGCCCCCTCCCTCCTCTGGTGTGCAACTGAACCTACTTCAAACAGATTTGTCAGGATACACAAATATCGGTGATCATTCAGTTCCTTCAGGTTTCATGTAAGTGGGTTGTAGGAAGAGGAGTTCTTGAAAAATAGCTTCTGTAAGGGCCCCAATTGTGGCAAAAACTTTCATATTACTAGACACTAGAAAATCCACAGCACCCTTCATAAGTGTCCTGACCATTGGAAAAGCTTATATTCAACTCCTACCTCCTAGGATACCAGTGTCTGCTAATTTTAAAGCAGATATCCATAGACAACCATGTTCTGTTAGTTTTGGAGGTTCACGGAATTGTTTGTATCTACTGTTCAGGGAAGAAAACTGGGACTTCTTTTTAATCAATAAGGCAGAACAAGAACATAGTGAGAGATCAATGTGCACTTGAGCGAATATGGTTCAGCGCTACCAGCTGCCCAAAATAGCTCAAAAGGGGGCATGTCAAAATGACAGGCACTGCTGAAAGGAGTTGAGGAAAGCATCAGTGCTGGAAAAAATCTCAGGGGCATGTTGCAATCTATTAACTTTTAATGAAATCAGTAGATGACCTGCTGATTTGTGTTTCTTCTCAGCAAGGAGACTGGACTGCTGCTGTTCTAAAATCACAGTAGCATCAGCCAAATGACAGCATAGCCATCGAATGATTTCCTAGAGAACATCAAAATGGCAGTCTGCTCCTGCACAGCTTCTTCATTCTGTCTTATTGAGGAAAAAGCTTCTTTTTTTAACCCCTGCAATTCATTTACTTGAATTGCAGTACAAAGTATGAAGTTGTGAAGAGAAGATGATGCCATCCTAACCTTTAGAAAAGGGACACTGAGCAGGATAAACTCTGGCTCTTGAACTTTGCTGGAGTCACCATTGGTGGTACCATTTAATCTGCAAGTCTCTTTTCTTGCCAGGATTTCTCCCATCAAACATGTTTTTATAGCCTGCTTTTGTGTGTTGTATTCATACCCTGCCAGTCACCATAGCATCTAGACACAGACGTTAACATCTCACATTTCAGATTGTTTTTCCCTTTGCCTCAAATCTTAAATGCTAAACATGTATGCAGTTTTAGTCCCATTTTCCATCACAGATGGAGGCTTTTAAATCCTCAGTCTCTTTAAGAAACATGAAGCACATACTAACCCATTTCCTAAGACATGCTTTTCAAGGTGCTCATTCTCTCCATTTGAAATGAGTCTCTGTTGCTCAGCAATCCTTTCCTGACATTTTAATTTTATTTTTAAATGTACAATTTTTTTTTAGATTCCTTCCCTTAAACATGTGTTCAGTGAATTGGAGTCAGCAGGCAAAAAGGTTTTCTCACCACAGATGATAAAAACCTGACCTGACAAATTGTCACTAAAACCAGTATCTTAAGGCCGTGTGCCAAGAAGAAGAGATATCTTTTATAGTATCAGAATCTAATATAAAAAGAATGAATGTCAAGCTAGTAAACCCAGCTTACATAAATCATCTTAAATAAGCAATAAAACAAGATAAGACAGGACATTTTATAGAGTTATTATGAAATGAATCATAAAGGTTTGGGGCCATCAGTTACCTGAGATGTGTCAATGACCTCAGAAAACATCCTGGATTGTCTTATTGGCCTTGCAGTATGAAAATAATTTAAAAAAAAATAAATTAAAAAATCGATTATCCCGCTGGTCTAGGAAATGATTCATGGTTAAAGTGCATGGAAAATAGTACGTGAAAGCTACCAAACAGCTTTTTGCTAGAAAATTTCCACTGTGAAGCTTTTGCCACTAATTCTCTTTATTTTTGAGGTTTGGGTTAGTTGCTGTGGATTTTTGGGGGGAATTTTTGTGTTGCTTTTTGTTTAAAAACCTGTAAATCCACCATTCCCTGGTTATCCTCCCCCAGTCTCAATAAGCTTCCCCACTTTCTCATAGCTGGGAAATGACCCACCTTCACAGGTGCTGACAACCAACAACTGTTTGCTGATATAAGCAGTGCAGGCAGCTTTTTGCAAATGTTTGTAGCATACGTGACTCTTGGGGCTTGCTGGTGCACAGGAATTACACTGATTTAACGAAACAGATTTCTAAGACCTTACACGGGATAAGCTTAAAGCAATCAATAGGCTTAACAACCATGCTGAATCAGGGCTAAGGCTCTGAAAATATCATTTAAGATGGAATAATGTGAGTATGGCTTGATGTTGCTAGGCTTAAAGCCCACATTGAAACCTAACCCTTCCAGCAACCAGACTGACTTCTTGTTTAAGAAGTGCTTTGCATGTATTAATCAACAAGCAGGAGCTTCTGAATCTTAGTCTTTTATTAAATTAAAGAAGGAGCCATCTTCCACTCAGGGCTGTGGTGGCCTATGGCCAGAGGTTCCCACTTCTAGTAAAAAGCTTTCCCTTCATATTTCACCATAAAAATATTGGTTGGAAGAATGGGTTTCCTCACCCACCAGAGTCTTGAAAAGACCACTTTGGGCAAAATAGAATTTCTTTTCTTTATAAAATAAGAACTCCAGTTGCACATACTATCATTTCTATTGTTTTTGATGTTACAGGTACCTGTAGTTAAGTAGACAACCTTACCTGTAGTTAAGTGAGCCCGGTACTTAGAGATAGAGAGTACAGGATTATAAGACATTCTTTCAGTTCATGTGACATTGGCAGTCATTAGAAGTTCAAGCAGAAATTTTCCATGTCAGGACTTTGCCTCAGGCTGATTTTTTTTTTTAACTTCAACAAAAAACATTTTTTCGTCTTCTATTTCTCAAAATGAGGTTACAGTAAAACTCTTCAACCCTGATCCATACCTCTGCTTATGTCTATGTTTGGAAGGAAGGACTTCACATTTTGGTAGACGTATCAGTTGGTAATTTTGTGTCACCCTGTGGAAGATGAATATAAATTGAGAAAAACTGTGGGCCTCAGAAGCTTTTAGTTCACAGAGGTTGGTTTCTGCAGGCATACTCTATACTGAGGAGGAAGGGGCTGAGCATGACTTTTGCTCATCACAATATCAGAGCCCTTGCTAAGATTTAGCAGCAAAACTGAGAGGAAAAAAATGCCTCTCTCACAAGCTTGCTAACACCACCACCTTTTCCCTGCTCTTCTCAGCTGCCTCCCACAATCCAGACAGGCAGAGGTGATGAGCAGCTGGTCCGGGATGTGAAAAGCTGGACCGGCAGTGTTCATAAGGGAGACATCTGGGTGGAGAGGTGACTGACTAGGAAAAAACTGAACTGGAAGGGGAACTGAAATGGGGATGGTGAGGGACTGGGAGGAAAGATACTTGAGAGGTGAGGGAAGGGCACAAAAAGTGAGCTGGGTCCAAGGGAAACTGGAGGAGAACAGAAACAAGAAGTAGAAAAGGCCACGGATACTTTCCTTGTGATACAGAAATATGTTAAAAGCATTTTGGTGCTATTAAGTCAATAACAGAAATTAGGAAATGCCAGAAAGAAGGTTTTCAGTAACTCAGCTTCACAACTGTAACATCCTATTAACACATAGGATTTTATTTTCTCTGTAATGTTATTACATCTTCAGCACAGTGAGGAAGGTACCAAGAGAATCCTTTAACTTGAGTGTGGGAGGGAGCAGTTAAGTACCATCTTACTATGTTTGCACATCTGTACCAGTCAATAAAGGAGAGCCTTTCCAGTCATTTTTAAAGGCATGCATGTTTTCTGGGTTTGACTTTTCCATAAGTATTAAATGATGTTATTTAGTGGAAAAACAATGCACAGAGGGTTTGACAAAATGGGAATAAGGTAATGTTTACAGAAAAAAAAAAGCAGAAATATACTAAGAAGATGCAGTATCTACAGTGTAGTTCCATTACAACTTTGAATTTATTGCTATTTTTCTGCCCATAGTTCTCTAACTAATTTCTATTATTTGTAAAATCACCCTCACAAAAATGTATTGGGTCAAATTATAGTGATTTTGATAAAGACTAAAATAAGTTAGCCTGAGGAGGTCAAAAAGCTACACATTCAGATATTCTGCTTTGTAACAATCCTTTTCCTGCTG